GAACTTGTCGTGTATCCCCGTGGACACAGGTTATGGGGAGGAAGGCTTTATATTCCGTTCGGGGGGCGAGACTATGCGACTGGACCAGAGTGACTGCACTGCCCGAGTCTAGGATGGCCCGGAACGGCTTTCCATTAACTTTCACTTCCACCTCTGGAGCTCCAACCGGCAGGTCGCGGTGCACAATGCAGCCTGCCAGCCAGGTCCGTGCGGGGACTTCCGTTGGCATGGGCAAGCCGCTGGCCTGCTTACTGGTCACGGGGTGCCCGGGTCGGTTGAGTGTAGCACATTTACGGGTCTCTTCGGGTTCGGGTACGAATTTTTGGACCCGTGTAGACGTGACGTTGTCCATTTTAGACGTGTGGTTATCCCAGACAAAATTATCCAATATATGGAATCTAAACTGGACATTATGTAATGTTAAGTTAAGCTGAAAAAAGAAAATGTATGGCTGATCATAATTTCAGACCTGCTTCTTAGTCAAACTCATCATCAAATCAGTAGAAATGTATAATAATAGCCCTTCAGTGAGAACTTGGAAACAATTGACCTATCGATAAGCCCCTCCCATCGAACACAGATGAGCCAATGGCAGTTGAGTATCAGTTGCATGGGGACCGGAACTCGGACATCTTTAGGATTAGCGCCATAGAGAAAAATTGGAAGATCCAAAGCTTGCATCGGTTTGATGGTGTTTATGCTGCAAAAATGGAAAAACAATGTGTCTGGGGTACTTGTAACACTGATTCCATCCTGAGAGGATGGGCAATGGAATTTATTTTATTCCATTTCCTGAACCCAAACAAAACAAAGCTAATGTTAAAGTTAGTGAGTCCATGCTAAAGTATAAACCTAAATTGCTAACTGTTCTCACTTCATGTACAGTGTAGGTCAAAAACACATAAACAAAGGTCTACATTGTCTATCCATATTAAACTGTTTAAATATAAATTAATTTAATCGTACCCTGCGGTACACGAACAGTGATGATCCTGGATGTTGTCATCTACGATCGTGACGACCGTAACATGAGGCTTCTCCCGCTTGCATTGTGATCTGTGAACCCTTGCTTCCAAATTAATCGAGTTACCCACCATATTTATCTTTAAAAGTTTTTATATATCCCTCCATGGCATATTTAATTCCCACTTGAATGGTGGTCCTTCTGTGTCCAAAATTGTTCAAGAAATAAGTAAAGTTTATTTATATAGCACATTTATCTCAGCAAAGCTGGCCAAAGTGCTGAACAGAAACAAAGTTAAAACATAAGACAAGCAAGACAAACCATAAAACAATAAAACATGGGTAAAATCAATTAGAATGCCTGGGAGTAAAGATATGTTTTCAACATTGTTTTAAAAGTTACAATAGAAGGTGCAAGGCAGATGTCCAGTGGCAGTTGATTCCAAAGATGTGGGGCGGCAACTGAAAAAGCCCTATCACCCTTTGTTTTGAACATCTTGTGACAAGGTTTTCACACTGACAGCTGCCACTGTAGGGGGGGTTACCGATAGGTCAATTGTGATTTTATTCCCCTTCTATCTATCCATGTTTTCATTATTGCCAACAGCAGTATGCACGAAATGTGGGAAGTAGGTTACTGAGAGTTACTAAGTTGCGTCACCTACTGATTCTGTTAAAATAATTGCCAGTTCTGCCCCTTTAAAGGGGTCATCAGATGCCCATTTTCCAAGTCTAAGGAAAGATGCCAGTTCAGTCTGTGCTGATACGCTACTGTCAATCAGACAATCGTGGGAGATCTGAGATCGGCTCGATTTGAGAAAGGGGATTGATGGTGTTTATGCTGCAAAAATGGAAAAACAATGTGTCTGGGGTACTTGTAACACTGATTCCATCCTGAGAGGATGGGCAATGGAATTTATTTTATTCCATTTCCTGAACCCAAACAAAACAAAGCTAATGTTAAAGTTAGTGAGTCCATGCTAAAGTATAAACCTAAATTGCTAACTGTTCTCACTTCATGTACAGTGTAGGTCAAAAACACATAAACAAAGGTCTACATTGTCTATCCATATTAAACTGTTTAAATATAAATTAATTTAATCGTACCCTGCGGTACACGAACAGTGATGATCCTGGATGTTGTCATCTACGATCGTGACGACCGTAACATGAGGCTTCTCCCGCTTGCATTGTGATCTGTGAACCCTTGCTTCCAAATTAATCGAGTTACCCACCATATTTATCTTTAAAAGTTTTTATATATCCCTCCATGGCATATTTAATTCCCACTTGAATGGTGGTCCTTCTGTGTCCAAAATTGTTCAAGAAATAAGTAAAGTTTATTTATATAGCACATTTATCTCAGCAAAGCTGGCCAAAGTGCTGAACAGAAACAAAGTTAAAACATAAGACAAGCAAGACAAACCATAAAACAATAAAACATGGGTAAAATCAATTAGAATGCCTGGGAGTAAAGATATGTTTTCAACATTGTTTTAAAAGTTACAATAGAAGGTGCAAGGCAGATGTCCAGTGGCAGTTGATTCCAAAGACGAGGGGCGGCAACTGAAAAAGCCCTATCACCCTTTGTTTTGAACATCTTGTGACAAGGTTTTCACACTGACAGCTGCCACTGTAGGGGGGGTTACCGATAGGTCAATTGTGATTTTATTCCCCTTCTATCTATCCATGTTTTCATTATTGCCAACAGCAGTATGCACGAAATGTGGGAAGTAGGTTACTGAGAGTTACTAAGTTGCGTCACCTACTGATTCTGTTAAAATAATTGCCAGTTCTGCCCCTTTAAAGGGGTCATCAGATGCCCATTTTCCAAGTCTAAGGAAAGATGCCAGTTCAGTCTGTGCTGATACGCTACTGTCAATCAGACAATCGTGGGAGATCTGAGATCGGCTCGATTTGAGAAAGGGGAAATGATTTAACGAGATAAAAAAAAAAAACACTGGGTGGATCTTTATCATTATAGGATTGTTGTGTACACACACTGCCAACACACATTTCAGTTCAAACAGCTTGTAAAAGTGCATGTGGCATCCGATGACCCCTTTAAGCTTTAACATGCAAAGTGAGGGGTTACCTGTTCTGCTGTATCCAAAAATTATGAATATATTCTGCAATGTAATATATGTTCATGAATGGGACATTTTTATGCTTTTTGTGGTGGGTTTTTTCACTAAAATTATCTTGCAGGTTAGATACAGTCATTGCATATTAAATTATCTTCTATTGAAACGTACATTTCTGCAGTGCACACATTGAAAAATGATGGGAAAAATATTCAGGTCTATATCACATTAGCTAGGACATTGCACACCTGATATTCAGGTCAACAATAATGTTGCTCATGCACCGAAAAAAAAAGTCTAGAAACATTTTTCACACAGAAATCGATAACACATTTTGTAAACAATTTCTAAGAGACAGTAAGTAACACTGAATTGTGTTTGCCTTGTCCGGAATTATACGTCGAAGTTGTGCTTCATGTGAGTCTCGCCCTGCCTTGTGTTTCCCTTTTGGATTGTTTATTAAAGACTGTAGTTTTGAGTTTATCCTCATTTCCTCGTTCTTCGTCTTGTCCCAGAAGGCAACCGTGACAACAGCAACAGACATGTTTGTCAGATGTTCAGTCAACAAAAATAAGCACCAACCAATGCCAACAGACATTGGACATTGAATTGGCGTTTGTTGGGTCTTGGAATGTATTAGGAAGTGACCTACTGTAATCTGGCAACCTTAAAAAAAAAAATTTGTTTAACTTTAAAAAGATTATTAGAGTAAGTTTAACAAGAATTTCTATTTCAGTCATTCTACTTCAAAATGTCATGCTTAATTTAATGTTACTTGCTGTTTCTTCGCAATTAATTCTGAAATTTACTGGCAATTTCTTTGCCAAAATTGTTTCTATGCCTATTTTTTTATTTATTTTATTTTTTTTTCAGTTCGTGATATCTTGTGTCTTCTACATTTAGCAAATCCCTGTTTGCTGTCTATAGGGTCTGGTGCCATTCTATGTCAACGCAACAGCAGGAACCACAGTCTATGGAGCCTTTGACACTCTGAATGAAATAGCAGACATATGTGAACACCATGGCCTGTGGATGCATGTGGATGTAATGTGTTTTATCTTATTAGGTACATTTTATTAAATATAGTAAGAATGATGCAGTGCTTTAATGCTCTCACTTCATTTAGGCTGCTTGGGGTGGAGGCTTGCTTCTGTCCAACAAACATCGTGTGAAACTGCAAGGAATTGAAAGGTAACCTAAATCAATCATTTTGATTGTATAATGTGTTCCTGTTGCTCAGTGGCATAAGCAACGTCAAGGTCATGGGTTTGATTCACCGGGAATTCATGAAGTGATTCAGGAAAATTTACAATTTGAGTGCAGTGCGAATTGCTTTGGATAAAAGCCTCCACTAAAAGCATAATTGTTAACTGGGAAACAGAACAACATTCAGTCCATTTAACTGTTGGGAGTGCAGATATCATTGTTTTGTGGTGTTATATTTTGGCATAAGCAAAAAAAAAAAAAAACACTCCAAAAGAGTTCCTTTTTAACTCTATCAGAGATTGATTGATTGATACTTGCAAATTTGCTGTGTGCCACAGAACAATAATGGGTTGACTGTTTGCACAACTTGTAAAATGTTCTGATCCCACTGTGTTTATTGGTAAGACAACAAAATATTTTAAAGATTCTAATATTTATTTTCTAATGTATTAGGGTTAAGGGATCTAGAATATGGTCGTGCAGAATAAGGCATACAAATGTGCTTTATGAGTATTAAAAAATGGCCAAAATGCTAGTAATATGCATGCTAATATGCAACTTATTCTAAAGTGTTACCATACGTTTTTAGTACATTTATGTTTATCAACTAGTTGGACTGTCTAGTTGCTTTTAAATCTTGTTGGCTATTGCAAGCATGGACTGCTTCATCTACCTTAAATGTCAGCAGTCAATTCTTTGGACTCTTCTTTAACAACCCTCCATTTCATTTTCTTTTAATCAACACAAAGTGCCACCTTCATTGCCATTACGTATGGTGTTCTGCAGGATAATTTACGTAATTTCTCTACAATTTTACTTCCAAGTGTGGTGAAAGCACATTGACATTTACTCTGTGAGACTGTTAAAACATATAACCCACTCACCCCCGTCTGCCTAAAAACTTACTTTCTTACTTTCATTTCTTTTGTACTGATGGTTGGTCAGAACCTGCAATTACAGCCCTACTCCTAGAATGCATCAAATTGATAAAGTTTCTGTCTAATGGATTCCACCTCCACTTTCACCTCCATTTCAAAAATCGTTTTAATATTTTGAATGTGTACTTTTTAAATTGGTGGAATTATATCAACATCTAACATCATCAGTCTATTCATATGCTTTCATCCAGAGCCCATTCTGTGACCTGGAACCCGCACAAGATGATGGGCGTCCCACTGCAATGCTCAACCATTCTAGTGAAGAGGAAGGTGAGCTGAGCTGGAAAATGTAATCTATGATGTTAAGAATAAATAAACAAATAAATAAATATATATATAAATTTTAAAAAATCAAGCTGAATTCATATCTATATGCCTTACCTGTAGCATTAATCTGGTTCCATATTTATAATATATAACCAATTATGCATTTGTTATATGCTGTAAAAAAGAAAATATATTGAGCTTGTGACCTTATTTCAGGCACTTAACCAAAAACCCAATAAAAAAATCCCACTGACTTCATTCTGTCATGACAACTCTCGGAGGGATTGGCATGGTAATGTACATGACAATGTTAATGTATTTGGTCTTGGCGGAATAGATCTGCTATGCTGCTGCTGCTACGGCAGAGCAAGTACCGAGACTTGCTACTGCCAATACACCCAAAACATGCTGCTGTGAGCCTGTAAGAAATATTGCTGCTGCAAATAAAACATACATGAAATAACCCCATAGCATACAGGAATCACCTCGTAGCATATCTATACAGGTGGAGCTGGGGAAGGTGGAGGGTTTCTGAAGCAAGCTGCACTGCTACGGCAAGCTCTAGTCATATATTTGAATGTTGAGCAGCGAGCTCATTGGCTACCAATACAGGAGAGAACCAATCATGCCATGTGCCCACAATGCCATGTGATAATGATGTCATTACATCAGATTGAGTTAGAACTATCGGACTGCGCCATCAGAGTTTCATGCCAGAACTATATATTTACTTAAAGGATTAGTTTCCAGAATAAACATTTCCTGATAATTTACTCACCCCATGTCATCCAAGAGTTGTCTTTTTTTCTTAATTCGAAAAGAAATTAAGGTTTTTGAGGAAAAAGTTCTGTGGATTTTTGTCCATAGAGTGGACTTCAATGGGGATCAACAGGTTGAAGGTCTAAATTGCAGTTTCAGTGCAGCTTCAAAGGGCTCTACGCGATCCCAGCCGAAGAATAAGGGTCTAATCTAGTGAAACGATCGGTCATTTTCTAAAAAAAAAAAAATTAAATAAATTATATGCTTTTTAACCACAAATGCTCGTCTTGCACTAGCTCAGTGGTTTTCAAACCTCTCCATGAAGTACCCCCAGCACTGCACATTTTTTATGTCTCCCTATCAGTGTTGTGGGTAACGCATTACAAGTAATGCGAGTTACGTAATCAGATTACTTTTTTCAAGTAACTAGTGAAGTATCGCATTACTTTTTTAATTTACAAGAAAATATCTGAGTTACTTTTTCAAAAAAGTAACGCCAGTTACTTTGTTTTCCCATTTATTGACTGACAAGTCTCCTGTCCCCATATTGGGAGAAATCGGAAGTGCAGAGGAGTTGTGTGCGCTGTGTGAACATGATGTTACTGTAGTTCTAAACTAACTGTGAATGTGCATTAATTCATGTGCATTAATTCATCCAACTCACAAAAAACTGATTTAGTATTCATCAGAATTAATTAAAACAGTGAAATGCAAACTCAGAATATGACGCAAACCTGCAATAATTAAATATGTTAAATAACACAAATGTATCTAATCCCATTTTATTAACCAATGTCTTTGCTGCTGACCTTTGATGATCCAGTTCAACCATACTAATAAGCAAAAATGACTTTAGATAAACTAACAATTGTGCTTCATTGTTTTTTTATTGCTGAAGAGTGTTTCTTCTCCTGCGTTCTACTGTACAGACGTGAATTTACTTTTCCTTCAGCCTGAGGTTAATTCATTACACTTTTTGGTGTGAAAGGGCTTTTACATTTGCTATAAATAGAACTTCTTATATTAAAAACAATCAAGCCCTGCTCATATTTAAAAAGTAACACGAAAGTAACGAAAAAGTAATGTAACGCATTACTTTCCATAAAAAGTTTAATGCTCATTGGTTCAGACAACCGTGATGCTGCGTTCTCTTCTAAAAGGTTTTATCTGATTTCATGTGATTATGTGTTTAAATTATGCATGAATATTCCCAAACACTATAGCAGTACGATCTCTGTGTGAGATGCTATTGTTGACATATTTCTATAAAAATCTAAAATGCATGTTTGTATTAAAGTAAAAATGGATGATAAATACGCCTTTCGTATGGAATTAAATAGTAAGCACTTTGGGTGTCTTGTTTATCATATCTATTTTAATATAAAAGCAACAGAACTTAAATTATATCATATTTATCAACAGCACAATGCATGAGTGTGATTAACGCGATATCTGCCTTTGATCTCGTAGGTATCTGTTGTGCTTCGAGAGGTCAGAACTGTCCGTCTTGACTGCGCTTATTTCACTCCTCCCCTCACTGCAGCCGCCTACTCTCGCCTACATTTCAGGCGAGGCGCATCTCAAACAAGTCTATAGTCACATTGGAAAGGTCACGCGTGACGTAGGTGGAAGTACCGACCCAGTGTTTACAAAGTAAACGTGCAAAGAAAGTCAAATGTCCTTTACAAAAAAAGGTAAAACAAAGAAAATGAGATGAGTTTTTCACCCTACTCTACCTCTTTGAACCAGAGTCGAGCATGCACATCACAGAGCTAGTGCAACATGAGCATTTTTGGTTAAAAGTATATAAATTTGTGTGTGTG